TTCTATGGTCAATGGAAATGTGCCGAACCCCACACCTCCTAGTTACAACTACAAATCCCAACAGACTTTCCTGTTTGCAGTCAATTCTAAACAAAGAGCCATGGCTATTAGTTGTGTTATCTTTTTATCAGCTTCTTTCGTGTTTTCATAATCTTGTAACGTTTCTATCGCTTCTTATTGCTGAATAAGTTTTAAAATCGATCCACAAACGGCTCCATCCATTATTACTTCCGTAAGCAGAGCGCTGCTGTGTGACGTCAACGTTCTTCTTCTGCGCATGCGGCTAGCTTTGGGGACGTTAGCTGTTAAAACAGAAGTTTCGTTGCGCTCGAGATGTAAAATCCGGTTTCAGGGGGTTAAAGAAATCGGAACTGAGGATCTAGACCTTCTGTGTGAAGGTAGCTTCAGACACAGAGAAAGCTCCGTTTGTTTCCCGACGGGCATCGCCACCATACGGTTATAAATGTGTTCAGGATGGAGCCGGTGAACTCCCGCAGCCGCCAGGTTAAGTGAATATCACCCTCTGCCTCCAGAAGGAGCCGCACACTCCTTTTCTTTCTCTCCCATTAAACATGTGCGCCATTTTTTTTTTAACACATATTTAGATTGAAAATCATTTCACCCTTCTTTGTGGAAGGTCATAAAATATATAGAGTTTTTGAGCGCAGTGCATAACATTTACATTTTCTATTGTATAAATGTGATCAGTGCGACGCAGGGTTGAATAAAACATTCATGGCAAAAGCCATTTCTTCAGTGACATTTGGTCCCATATCTATCATCAGTTTTCTATCCGCAGCCTGGAGAACAAGCGCTGGTCAAATGTTTAAATGTGGCCCTGCCACATAAAATTTAAACCCCGCTTTCACATTAACACCCGCCGGCTACGAGATGGAAATGCTTTTTTTTTCTTTGTGCAGATAAGAGAAAAGTCAAATGGAAATGACTTGCAGGGTTGTTGTGGTGGGGGACGTGCAGATGGGCAGGAGGAAATTGAAGCATGTCAGTTAAATTAGAAAAAGGCAGCTCTGCTCCAAATGGCTGACATGTAAATGTAGATCAGATGCGTCCGTTATGGATCGTCCCACACCGCCTTTTTGTCATCAAAAATCCCATCAGTACATTAAAAAGGTACACCCTTGGCGCTGACAAATTATTTCTTTCTCCTATTGAATGATTTGAAATGCTTTTGAACTCTGCAATGGGAGGCGTTTTAGAAATATCATTTACCTTCTGCAGGAAATGTGCTTTTACTCCGTTGGGTTTCATGTGGTCATTGTTGGAAAGTAACTACAGCAGCCAGTGATGGTGAAGCAGCTGCAACTTTTACCTGACTGAACTCAGTAGCTGCTTTTCCATTAACCTTAAAACAGTGCAATTTGACATTGGCTTAAATTTGCTTAATGTTTCTAAAGGTTTTTGCTTGGATGACTTCTTTTGTGACATACAGATGTTACCACTGGCGGAAAAGAAGACAGGAAGTGGTAGGAGAATGATGGCGCTGCATGTTTTTTTTAATGACTTATCACATGAACTTGTGATTTTAATTGCATTTCTTGTCTAATGTAAAAACTGCAGTTGCAAAATTGCGTTTTTTCAACGTTAGGGTAATATTAACGTTTTGAGCACATTTGTAATAAAAACGAAGCTATTGAGCTGGTAGAAATAATCCACGGCTTAAATTTCAAACTGATACAAGCTGCATTTCCAATGTAAATGTGTGTAAAACTTTGTCAATATTCCTTTAATGTTGAAAAGACACTATTTTGCAATTGTGATGTTCCCATTAAAGGAGTAATGCAATTAAGATCACATGAATAAGTTTGTTCATGCAATAAGTCATTAAAAACATGGTGCATCATCATCTTCCTACCACTTCCTGTTTCCTTCTTCGTCTTTTCTGCCAGCAGTAACATCCGGTTGTTGATCACATGATGCGATGGTCTTCACACCTGTTAGCCTATTAAAGCACAAATATTAATGGAGTTTAATATGATCGAGAACCGTGAAGTGGAAGGAAAACAATAAATGGTTTTCTACGCATAAATTTAGCAAAATATGAGGTGCTCTTGAATTCAGTCTGTTATAACATGGTGACTTGCAGGAGGCAGATTAGTGAAACTAAAATAGTTGACTTAAAAAAAAATAAAACTGAAATCCAAAAATTTTTTTCTAATTATGAAAAACAAAACAAAAGTAAACACTTTAAAATAAAGTTCTAAAATCAGTAAAATTAATAGTCAGAAAGAAATCAAAGGCAAACATTCCATAAAAAACATTAATGATCTTTGATGATCAAAATGCTGTTTTTATGCCCAGTCAGCAAGTTGCTGGTCTCACCCAGTTTGGAAACTGTGTTGCCTCATTTCAGGTTGCGGGATTGATTCCCACTGGTACTAATTAGCATTGTTTAGATGTAAACCCAAAGGGGCCACTCCGTCTTCCTATCATGGATTATTTTACACCACTGTGTTCACTTCAGCTCCAGTTTCCCACACATCTGTAATCCTAATAGGAGGTATTCCAGCTCAACTACACAGTAATCAATGTGAGTTATGTTGAAAACAAAGCTTAATAATATAAAGCCCACACATAAAACAGAACATATTTTTGGAGCTCCATGTTTTTGGTGCCATCTGTACTTTAGTTTGTGGTAACTTTCCAAATCATTTTCTGACTCTTGCAGAGGCGATGGCAAATGACCAACTGTTTTTTTGTTGAAGGATTTTAATATAAGAACAACACTGGGATGAAAAATAGATGTAAACTGCAAAAACACAAAACCTTACCAGAAACTATTTTCACTAGCTTCTATTGAAAAATATCTTATCACACTTGAAATAAGACAAAACTAACTTAGAAGTTACTTTTCAGCAACATATGTGAGCTTACTATCAGTCAGCAATTCCTTAATTTTGATTTAAATAAAAGTACTAGTCCCACTGTCAGATTATTTCACTGATACCAAGATATTTCCCATGTTTTAAGTGAAAAAAATGCATTTTTTAAATTACATCAGTACATCTTAAGGAAATAAATAATAGGAAGAATGACCGAGTCTAGAACTTTTCATAAATATTGATAAATTACTTACTCAAAGTAAACTCCTATTTTTTGCTGAAAAGTTACTTGTAAGTTAATTTTGTCTTGTTTTATGTCTGCCTAGATATTTGCACTAGAAATGACAGAAATACTTGGTAAGACTTTGTGTTTTTGCAGTGCACAAGTGAATTGTGTCTCTGCTGGTGGTTTTTCCACAAACACTTTGAAAGGTGGAGTAAAGTTCGTCTTTCTAAGCTGAATTCAACAAACACCTGTGCAGTGCAAGGACTAATTCATCCTGACTAAAGTCAGACTAAAAGTTTTAACTTCTTTCCTGAGCCAGGGTAGGAAGCTACTATATAGAAGTGATTTCACACATCAGAGTACTTTGCTGTGCTTCATGGCTCTAGACAATTAACTTGAGTCTTTTTTTCTCCTGCTAGATTTGATTTCATAAAACTTAATTCAAATAATACCTTAGGGAAATTTAAACAGTTAATCTAATATGAAGTTTTTGGGCTTTGAAGGATCAAATTGTTCATACTAGCTGTATTTTTCTTTTTACCTTGAAATTGCGCAAACTGGAATTATCAAAATAAATTAGCGTAATGGAAACACGCCAGTTTTGAAAAAAGTCACATTTGAAAATGTTCTGGGCTTAAAAAAACCTGACATTTTGACATTATTGTCAAATTTTCTGATGCCCTAATTTGCCGTCGCATGTATGAACGAGGATTAGGGCTAACAAAATTTTTTTCTAAAATGAAATGACTAATCTTGAAATACTGACTTTATTCTCTGTAATTATCTAGAAAATAAACAAGAATTTTTTTTCAGAGTTGGATAGTGACTAGTTACATTTACTCAGTAACTTCTTTTAAAAAATACTTTTAGGGGTATTTTTTTTTACTATGCGACATTTTTATCTTTACTTTAGTAATTTTATTATGAAGTATTTCTACTCGTACTTGAATAAAATTTTTGGATTTTCTTGCTACTGAATGAAAAACAAACATGTTTTAACTAAAAACGCACCAGACACAGACACACACCTGCAGTTTTTGTTTTTTATTGAAAGAAACTGATACTTTAGTATACTTTTTACCAAATACTTTTTTACTCTTCAGTAATTTCTTGGATGCTATTCATACTTGTGTACGATTTTTGCGTAGTTTTTTTCAGTGACCATAACTCTTTTCCGTAGCCTGAGTATTAAACCTACTGAATAACTTTACGTTTTTGTGTTTGAATTGGTGAAATAAATTAACATTTCAGTGATTTCCAATGGTACCGAGATGCACCTGCGCTTGGACAGTCATTCATGGCTCCAATGGATGTAGAAAGTGTGATTTTCGACGGCAAGTGAACGCAGCAGAGGCAAAACGCGGCACCACTTAGCGCTTCTCCCCGCCAACCCCCTCCTCTCGCTGCGCGTGTGCCCGCCGGTAAAGGCGCGCGGCCGGCGGGTTGTGGGGTAGGGGGGATGTTGTGCTCGCTCCTGCTCCTCCTGCTCTCTGACCCCAGTGGCAGCTCCGACTCACTGCACTTCGGCTCCCCCTCCGACACACCGCGGCTGCTCGCTCTCTCTCTCCCCCGCTAACTGTCAGTGTCTCTTGCCCTCCGCTCCGGCTCGCTACCACTCGCTCTCCTCCCGGTCTGGGTTCTTTCCACCAGAGCCAGCCGAGGTCCCGCCGGGTCGAAGGTTCCTGCCCCGGCCCAGCCTCCTCCACCACCAACGGTCGCGCCTCGCGCAGGAGTCTCCGCCGCATGGACCCGAGTCCCTCCGCTGCTTCTTCTTCTTCTGTTTCTTCAATCGCCTCTTCTTCTTCTTCTTCTTCTTCCTCCTCCACCGCGTAGAGGGCGACCCTCTCCGACCCGACTCTCGTTATCCGGCCGGCTGCAACACCCAGAGAGGAGGGGGAAACGGAAAAACCTCCAGCCCGAAGGTAGCGCAACCTTTCAGCCTCGCCGCGGAGGCAGAGACGGGGAGGGAGGGGAGGAATTCCTGACACAAAGCCGTCGGTTTAAAGGTGGCTTGTCATTTACGAGGAAGGAGCCAGAGGTTACCGAGGCGGCGCTTTGACACTCACCACCTCTGGGTTATTTTAAATTTATTATTTATTAATATTATTCATGGATCAGAGTTCAAGGGGGAACGGAGTTTTCTTTCTTTCTTTGCATGCTGCAAGCGGCTGTGTAGTATAGCTCACGCCGTGTCTGCATGGTGAAAGGGTGAATTTTATTCGCCTTCTGCCCCCCTCCGCTGCTTCCTTCTGCTTACCGGAGTGGGAAGTTAGCTGCCAGGCTCTCTGTTTATTGTGCTGCCAGAAAGAAGCTCCAGCTTCAGCGTGCATAATAATACAATTTAGCAGGCTAAGCTACAGAGCTAGTCGCTGCTGCTACTGTAGCCATAAGATAGAGAGGGACAGAGGAGCATGGACACTACAGTGACACGCTGCATACTGAGAAATAAATAAATAAAATTATATAAACATAATATTAGTTTAACTACTACAGTGCAGCCTTTGCATCATATTTTAATCCGCCAAGGTTATTTTTTTCTTATATATCTATAACTTTGGTCGTGATGATAAAAATAGTGCAGAAAATGTCCAGTTTTATTTTTTCCTTTTACTACTTTCCATTTGATCTTTAAACTAGACAGTTTGCACCTATTCTTTAGTAATTTTAAATTGCATATTGCTACTTATCCTGAAATTTTAAATCCGAATAAGTGTTTTTGACATTCCCACACTCAGATAAAATCCGATTAGCATGTATTTGCATTAATCTATTTTCAAATAGATTAAAAAAATATATTTTTTTTCATCTGCAGTATCATCTTTGCAAATTGACAGAAAATGTAAATCAATGTTCCTGGCAGTTTTCAGCACTTAAAGCTCAGATAATACTCTCAAAAATTTGACTTTAAATGGTAAACCTGGCCTTTAAGAAATGAAAAAATCTGAAATTTTGGGATTATTTGCTATTAATGCCCAGTGTACACAGGTAGAAACATAAAGTTGCCCCCAAGGGTTGAGGGAAGCCTCAGTGAAATTTATAGCTTTCCTTTGAAGTTAAATCAACCTTAAAAGCACAGTTCTCGATTCACATGCTGTAATGTTTCTATTTAAATAACTTCAATGTACAGGTTTCATGACGCCAATCTGAATAAATGTGTTTTCCTCATTCTAAAATTAACTACATGCATCATAGGAAGTAGCATCCAGCTGACCCAGAAAACATAAATCCATGATTTTTTTTATGAAAATGGGCCAGTTTTGAGAGGTTTGCTTCAACTTATTCACTGCATCCTTTCGATTTACGTCTTATGGGGGGAAAAAAGGCTGATTTTTATTTATTTTTTGACATTTTTTACCCTTTGACGTGTGGGAGCATGAGGACGTCTGGTATAAAACACCCACGGTAGCCACGTTGCCACAGTTAGGAAGGTCAGAGTGAAAGGAGGCGCGCAGGACAGCCGGGTGAGAGACGTCGCTCTTTATCTTGTCCTGCAATATTTTACAGCTTTTAAACAGATTTATTTATAAATAAAACTAAAGACGCCAGATCTCCCCTGATTGATTGATTTTTGATTGCATCAGTTTGGAATTTGAGGCACTTTTGTTTTATTTGGTGCAGAAATCAACGTGTTTCACACGTGGATTTGCTGAAGATTAATGAATGCGTTGTCCTTTTAAAAAAATATTTTAAATGTAATAGACCTCTGAATTTGAGATTGTATCTAGAGTAATTTTTTTTTCTAATTATGGTAAAAGTTTTAGGTTGATTTTGATAACATTCCTGTGTAATCTCATCTTTTTAGGAGCTTTTGTAGAAAATGTTGGGATTTTTAAAAATGTTTTCTTTTCTAGCCTCGAAGCATTAACTTATTATTTATCTCTGAATCATTGAATTTAAAGCTTTTTGTCTCAGAAGTTGATGTAGTTGGAAAAAGTACTGAAGAACGTTTAGCTTAATTTTGTTAACATTCCTGTATAATCTCATTTTTTTAGGAGCTTCGTAGAAAATGTTGGAATTTTTTGTGCCTTTTTAATCTCCAAACTTTTACTTTATCATTTATCTCTGAATACCTGAATTTAACATTTTAGTGTAGCTTTTACTCTGAAAAGTTGATGCATGATTGATTGATTGATTGATCGATCTATCAGTTCTGGGATTGGAGTCACTTATGTTTTCGTTGTGTGCAGAAATCGTCCCGTTTCATGTGTGAATTTGCTGCCTTTTAGATATTTTAAATTAAATAGCTTTGTGGATTTCAGATTACATCCATAGTAATTTTTCTTTTCTCTTTTGCCCTAAGAAGAAATATGGTAAAACCTTTAGCTTAATATTGCTAACATTTATGGACACTCTCATTTCTTTAGGACCTTTTGTAGAAAATATTTGGACGTTTTTTCAACAATGATTTTCATTCTGAATCCCTGAACTTATCATTTTTTTGTCTCGGATGCGTGCCCTGGCAGCTGATGCGCTGCTGTGTTCTTGTCTGTGCAGACTGCAGCGTGTGTTGGTCGAGTCGGTCGGTTGGCCGGGAAGCCACAGCCGGCCCCGCTGCCGCTCCTGCTGCTGGGAGACTTCCTGGGCTTACCGAGCGGCTCCGAAGGATGACCGCCGCACAGCTCGTTGCTGAATCCCGGTGAACGAACGGCGTCTCATGTCCAAACGGCGGAAGGATGGCTCATGGCAAAGTGACCATCACGGTGGACGAGTACAGCTCCAACCCCACGCAGGCCTTCACGCATTACAACATCAACCAGAGCCGCTTCCAACCTCCACATGTCCACATGTAAGTGCACAAGCATTTATTTTACAAGTTGGAAACTTTTGCCTGATGTCTAGCACACCCGCAGGTTCAGACAATACAAAAATAAACTAGGGCTGAAACAATCGTGATTAATTGATTATTTACTCATTTACCCTCTGCAAAGGCAAAATATGAAGTATAAGAAGTATAAGACTTACTTCTCTGATCCTTAGTTTTCCAGTGGCTTCCAAATTGCTGCATGAAGTGGTCATGTGTTGCATTTTGTGACAAAATATTTCCTGAAAATGGACTAATATGCTCAAGGCTGGAACGATTAAACGTGATTAATCGATTATGGAAATAAGAGATGGTAAAAAAAGGTTTTCTGCACCACTTTCCTCTTAATTAGCAAAAGCAAAGAATCAAGTAGAGGACATATTTCACTGATCTTTAATCATCTTTTCATCGATTATTGAAATAATCGTCAATTAATTTAGGAGTAATCCAAGTAAGAAGTTCTGACTTGGATTAATCATTAACTGGATTAAACAAACTCAAAAAATACTATTTGATGAAAGACCAACATCCTCAGAGCAGTAATTAACCAAAACTGTAGAAACATATAAATATTCTGCATTTAAGATGAAAAAAAACCTCAATCTATAAATATGTTCACCCAAAATTTTAGCTTCACCTTATTCAAATTCTATAAAAAATAAAAAAATTAACATACTAGCCCTAAACTGTATTGATTTTAAGTCATGCAGAAAATTATGAACTTTTCACATGTTGATGGATCCTTTGCCACAAATGGTCAAGTGTTCACTAAAGGAATGCCTTTGTTGCATGTAAGCCAATAAAATGATTTTCTTATTTAAAAAAGCAACTTTTACTTAATTTGCATGATTAAATGCATTTTTAATGCTGCATAAGAAAAGCTTAATGAACTTTTTTTTATCAGATATAATGAATAATTTCAGAATAATTGATAGTGATTTATTACTAAAACAATCATTAGTTACAGCTCTAAAATAAAAACACGTGGACAGAATGAGCTCAAACAGGAGTCCAATCAGGATGATGTAAAGTAAATTTAACAGAAGCTCAGAGAGAGAGAAGCTCTGATTGTAAAGTTTAAAGGTGTCAGTTGCTTGTTTTTAATGTTTTAAACAGCATTCCAACAGAAGTCTGGAACAGTATGGAGTTTGATTGAAATGTTTGAGGAGTTCTTCCATCTGTCCGTCCAGTCGTCTCTGGTCTTTCCAGATTTAGAGCCTGGAGCAGTAGAAATGCAGAGTGTGAGAAGTTTCTAGAAAAAAAAGAAAAGTTTGAGAACAAATCTAGAAAAATCAGGACTTCTGTCTTGGAAAAAGGTGTTGGACTCCTTCAGTCTTGTCTGACTTTAAAAGAGAGTCACCACAGACCGGAGAAAGGTGATCTGTTGCTGATACGAGCCAAAGCTTTTCTGTATTCTGCCTTTTTTCTTTCTATGCATCACCACAGTTTTTGCCTGGTTGTCATTAAGATGCACATATTTACTGTATCAGTTGCTTGTGGCCGCGCTGGTCGGATGTGGTAAAGTTGGGCTTCTCATTAGCGGGTCGCTGCGATGCGACCTGTTAGCCCTCCCTCCGTTTACACACATCAGAGCAGTTTTTGTCTGACAGCCAAACCGTTTTTCAGCTGTTTGACCCTTTGTGTTTAGCCGAGCGTTTTTGTGGCATTTTAAGTTTTATTGAACTTTGATGCCTTCAGAAAGCAGTGCAGAAAACATTAGCTAATTCCAGTACAATGTAAAGAGGCATATAAAAAAATTAAGGATGAAATGATTAATGAAAATAATAGTGAATAATCGATTATTCAAATAATCGTTAACTAATTTAGTAATTAATTGTTACTTGGCATACACAGACATAAAAAAGTCAGTTTGCTGAAAAAACAACCTACAGAGAGCTGTTATTGAGCCAAAACTGTACAAAAATTTACACATTTTGCATTTAAGATGAAAAAATCTTCTTGGTCTGTAAATGTGTTCTACCTAGACCTATTCAAATGGCATTTTTAGCTTCACCTGGTTCAAATTCTGTCGATTTTCTGAAGATTAATCAATTAATCAGACAAAAAAACCCTGGCACATTAGAATAATCGTTAGCTGCAGCTCTATTAAAGATAATTAAAGTCTGACCACACAATTAAAATATATTTTACTTCCAGCATGTTATAAAAGCTTCTGTTGTGGTTTAGCGGTTAGCAGCCCTCATCTACAAAAGAATGCTTGTAATTTTTGTGGCGGAAATATGTTAAAGTTTAATTGTTCAGGGTGCAGAAACAATGCATCTGCATATATATAAAGCCTGTTGAATGAAGGCTTAGATTCTTAAATAAATTTGGACTGAATCAGGGTTGGATGATGAGCTCTCAGCAGACTTCAGAGCTGAAAGATCGACCAGCTGCACAGCTTCACTTTTGGCAGTCAGAGCGCCTGGCCACAAGTTTTAACTGTTTCCTACAGTTTCAGTTTTTTTGAAGCATTGTTCTTTTGGTTCTTATGGTTCCCACCATTCACTCTGTTCTTGTAAACAGGATTATTTTAGGGAGATGGAATTATGTAAACGGCTAAATTGGAGCCTTACCTTCCTCTTGGCGTTTGGAAGCGTGCACAAATGTGGCACTGTGTTGTTTTGGGAATTCCTCAGCTGCAGACTTTCGCTGCCAGCACAGTGAGTGCCGAATGTGGAGACGGAGACAAACATAACCCTTTCAAGCTCTGTTATGTCAATGGTTTTTGTAAGAGTTGACAAACCAGGTCAGAGGATTTAATATGAGTGTGGGCACCTTCTGTTTTTCTATTTTAGATAAAACAAAAGTAACAGTGCCAGTGCTGTGATATGAACTCTAAGTAATGCAGTTTTTGCTGACATTTCACTGTTTTGATTCTTTTGTAGTTTGTTTTGATAAAAACAGCAAGGTGGATCTGGTTGCTATGCAGCGTCGCTCAGATTTTCAAGTTCAATTAAAGTTTATAATAAGGAGTGCTGGTCATTTTGCATCTTTCCCATTTTGCACATTGGGAGTTTTGGTCGCTTTGCGCATAAATTATATATTTAGTGCCTGTTGCAGTAAGCAAGAAATCAATTAATCGTATAATAAATAAATAAATAAATAAATAAAAACAAGCTCAATCATTTCCTTTTGCATAATTGTTTTTTGTCTTTTCTCTCTTTCTACCAAAAACTGGATCATAAAAATCTTCAGTCTGGTGTTTTTGTCTCAACTAGACATTTTTTTGATGGACAGTTTTGTTTACAGGGACTTCAGTGTCCATTTTGTTTCAGTCAGGCTAAAGTTTGAGTCAAGTACAGACGTATTCGTTGCACTCTATGACTCAAGGTGGTTGAGGCTACCGCTAACTAGCTGCTAGCTAGCTTTTTTTACATCTGTGAGTAAGTTTATCATCTTTTCTATATATTTGTTGCGCTACAGGTCTTAAATTTCATTAATTATGGTTTTATAAAGTTTTTAAAAAGTCTTAATTTTGAGTTGGTCAAACCTGCAGAAATTCTGTAGCTCTAATAAAAATACTTTAAACCTAAAGAATGACATAATGGAAAGTTGCAGCATTTTAAAACCTTCTAATACATTGATTCTGCTATTAAGAGGCGGACACCGTAGCTGTTTACAGCAACACAGCGGACAGGCTACAGCAGTTACAAAGTAACTAAAATGGTGGGTGGAGCTACAGTCATAACACTCGCTGTGTTTCCATTACAAATGTGCGCAAAACTTTGTTCTCAAAAAATCACAATTTTGCAATTGTGTTTCCATTAAATAAAAAAAAACAAAAAAAAAAACGGAATTAAAATTACGCATGAACCAGTTTGTTCACAAGTCATTAAAAACGTGCGGCGCCGTCATACTCTAATCACTTCCCGTCATCTTTTTCATTTCTGCCAGTAGTAACAGCTGGTTGTTGATCACATGACACATTTGATGTGAAAAGTGTTCCTATTGCAGTTTTATGAAATAAACAAATTTCAAAAACTTTTAAATTGATGTGTTTCCATTGGGCAGATTTTTTAATTTATTTCCAATTTGCATAATTTTACGCTCAAAGGAAACGCAGCTTGTAAATCAAAGCAAAGCCAATAAAGAAGAACAGATTTTGCCGATTGTGCATTTAGTCTAAGTTGGTTGTTCATCTTTTAAAGCCTGTGCAGATTTATTTTTGGGACTTCTACGAAGAAAATGCTCAAAGCATTTCTTAAAAATATGCAGCGTCATCTGCAGACGGTTTATTTTCGCTGCAGCACATAAAGGCAGATTGAAGGTGATGCTGCCTTAAGATTGAAGCCGTAAATCGGAGTTCTTCTTATTGCTTCTTTTGGATGCATTAAGCTGCAAATCTGCAGGCGTCGGATTAGTGAAACCTTTACATTTTCGCTTTCTTAGAAAAATATTGGGATTTTTTCCGATATAAATTGATTCCTTTGCTTTTTGTGCAGTCCTGTTGAATTTTTTTTCCTCGTTCGTTGTGTTCGGAGGTGAAGTGTGTGTCGAACCGGGGGTTGTGTGGAAGCAGAGGGGCCTCTCAGCAGAAATGTGTTTGGATAAATACATTAGGCTGTTTCCTGGGTTCCACAGAGCCTGCAGTGTTTTACCCTGTCATTCTTAGACTCAACCTAGGAGCCCTGCGATGACACACACACACACACACAGAGAGACACACGTGTCTCCGAGCCCATCCCCCCCTCCATGTTCAAGTGCTTATAGAATAAGAGCTCTGTTCGAGGAAAGCAAAGGCTTGTTTAGATTTCCCGGATAATGATCCGAGTCGTTCCTCTCCCTCATTCGCCGCATTCAGGGGGGAAATAAAACGCGAGCTTCTCTGACAGAAAATGAAAGACATTTTTGCCTCTTTTTTTTTTTTTTTTTTTTTGAATTTTATTCCCTTTTTTATTTTTTTCCTTTCCCTCCCAGACGGGAATTTTTGGTTTTTCCCAAAA